AATAAAATAAAAAAGAGCTAGGGCCGAGGATTTAGCTCAGTGGTTCCAGCACCTGCCTTGCAAGCGCAAGGTCCCAAGTTTGATCCCTGGTACCACAAAAAAAAAAAAAAGCTAATTCTGATGTTGACTTTTATCCTGCTGTATAATAATCATGTATAAACAGAAATGAAAAGCCCAACAAAAAAAAGAAAACTATGAAAGTAAATTTTGTGACAGGTTAACAGCCTGGGACAATTTGGTGAAAGTCAAAATTACTAATATTGTGATGTGATGTTTAGGATATGTTTCAAAATAATCCAGTCTGGGTGATGGCAGGAGTACAACATGAAGCAAGACTGACCTTGGCTACAAGTTAATAATTATCAAAGTTGAGTGACCAATACATAGGGTTCTCTATACTATTTGACTTTGGTACATTTTTCCATAACAAAATTTTTTATAAAATAGATTATCAGCTGCAATATTTACTACTTCCCTAGCACTACTATAATTTGTGCTATGACAAAAGATAGGCTTTCAACGTTTGTGTAGTTGTTTGTTTTCTGGCAGTTAGGGTTGTTTTGTTTTGCAGTACTGAGGACTGAATCCAGGGCCTTCATACTGGGTTACATCCTCAGGCCTTTTTAAAGACAGAGTCTCTCTAAGAGCTGTATAGTTATTTGAGTATTGTTAAAAAGCCAAAGAGAGATTTTAAACTAGCAACAACTTTCAATTAAAGAGTTTAAACTAGAAACTATTTCCTGGCTTTGTCAGAAAATTATAGGAAAATGTCAAAAACAGGTGACACTTTGCACTACTGAGAGAGGTAGAAGATAAAACATTCTCAGTTCACTAAGGAAATGTGCTGCCTAAAGCAATCCTAAGACACAAGAGAATCACTCGGCAAACGCACAGTGCTTTTCACTCAAGTAAATCTGAACACCGGTGGGGTGCATTTCCTTTAAAGGTAAACCTATGCAACTACTTACCGAATTAAACTCAGTTTCTCTGAAAATCCCACCTGTCACAGGATAACCGAAACTGCTCCCTCTACGCTCCAACTGTATTTTTAGTTTTTACTTCAACAAGAAGCAATGTAATTTTATATTTGCTAAGCACAAATTCCTGAAAGGCTAAAATCAACCAAAAACTTGGTTTAAGTCTCTTTTCACCAGCCTCTCAACAATTAAAGCTCCAAGCAGAAGGGAAAAGTGACCTGAAAAAGCTTCCCAAAACAGTGCCAGAACAGGCTGAAGCATACAACTCTGCCGAACAGAAGAAAACTTCCACACAAGCAATACTGCAACAGGGAGGTGGAGCATGGGCTTAAAAGGAAAGTCGGCCATCGGCGACGGAGGAAATAAAAGCAAAGCGACAGTGGAAAAAAAAGTGAGAAGCTGGAAAGGTACGCATGAAAAGGGCAGAGATTTTTACACTTTCGTACATTCCCCCTCCACGGGCTGACCCACAGCAAGTGCTCCAGAAAGTTCTGCTGAACTCAAGGGACGCTTCTGCCAGCAACTTTCCCAGAAATGGAATGACAACAAGCTGGATGATGGCAGAAAACACGGCCAGGTTGCTCATACTGCAAGATCTGGTGAACACCCGGCAACTAGCTAGACAGAGAAGATGGAAATAACAGCATTCATGGTTTACAGGATGCCCCAGTTAGGCACTGGGTCTCTTAACCCAAAACAATGCCCGGGCGCTGGCAGTGGGCACGCCGGACACTTCTGTCTCTAAGGAAATCAAGCAGGTAGGTCGGTCAACTTCTGTCCACTCTGCCCACTAAATTATACCTTCATATCACGCTAATAAATTATGCAGGCGGTTTATTGAGACACGCTGTGGGTCTGGCACTCTGATAAGCGCTTTACACGCCCCATTTCACTGAACCTTAACAGCCTAAGAGGCAGGGAAGGCTTTAGCCCCTTTTTTCAATCCGAGACACCAAAGAGTTTAAGTGACTTGGCTGAGAGGGTAGAGCTGGGATTTGAACCCCTGGAGGACACCTGGGCAGTGCTGGTGACCACCAAGCTACAGACCCGGGCGGGAGAGCTTTGGGGACTCCGGATCCCGGAGACTTGAAGCGAGGACCCCCCTCTTGCCCCGGGAATAACTTCGGCATCTCGGGTGCGACGCGAAAGAAGGGAAAGCGGTCGCGGCACCTGTTTCTGGCCCCAGCCAGGGGCGGAGGGTTCGGCGAGACCGAGGCGGGGGCGCAGAAGGACCCGCCTCCTGCGGGAAGGCCCCGCCAGCCGAGACAGGCCCGGGAAGGAGGCCGGCGCGCGGCCCCGAGGCCTAGTCTGCCGCCGCCCACCTCCCCGCCACCGCGGCGCCCGCGCGAGCCCCGCCAGGCCTGGCCTGGACTGGACCGGCCCGGCCCGGCCCGGCCGCCTCACCTGGCTGCTTCCCCGAGCTCGTCCCCCGGCCGGCGGTCCTGGGCGGCGGCGGCGAGGACGGGAAGGAGGAAGGAAGAAGGGAGAGGAGGAAGGGACGGAGGGAGGGAAGAGGCGGAGTGGCCGCGGAGGAGGCGGGCGCCGCCGGGGGGGGGGGGCGGTCAAAGGAAGAGGGAGCCGAGAGAGACGCGGCAGCCGGCGCGAAAGCTGAAGAGCGACTCCGGCGCCCGCAGCCCGGCAGGAAGTGACGGGGGAGGGGCCGGCGCACGCCCCCAGCCCCCGCCCGCCTCCATGCCCGGCCCCACCCTCACCCGCGGCCCGGACCACAAGTCCCGGCGGGCACTGCGCGGACAGGCGCTCGCAAGGCACGCCGGAATCCTGGAGGCGGGGTCTAGTCGTGCCTGAGCCCCAGCGCCTGCTGCGAGTTGTAGTGCCGCTGTGAGTTGCGCGCTGCCTGCTGTACCGGAAGTGGGGCGGGAGAGCGGACCTACGTTCTGTCTCAACCACTTCCTTCTTCCGTGCTTTCTGTCCTCTTTTCCCACGTGTGTCATTCCTTTCTCTCCTTCCCTTAGTCCCTCCCTGCTCCTATCAATGCTTATTAAATGCCCACCATGTTCGAGGCAGTGTTCTGAGCACAGAATGAAGTGAACCAAAATACCTGCCCTCAAAGAGCGTACTCTTTAGTGCTGGAAAACATTAAAATCTGTCCCTGTTACAGTAAAAGTTCTAGGTTAGCGAAGAGATTTTTTTAACAGCTCGCCGGGGATTTATCTCAGTGGTGCTGCCGCCTGCCTCGCAAGCGCAAGGTCCCGAGTTCGATCTCTGGTACCAAAAAAAAAAAGAAAGAAAGAAAGAAAAGAGATTTTTAACAGCTCCCTTACAGAAACGGGTCGGGAGAGGGATGCGCCGTGAGTCTTGGAGCTCAAAAATGCGCGCGTTGTGAGAGGTCAGGGAAACAGGAGGAACTGCCGCTCCCAGGACTCTTCTGCCTGACGTGCTCTGGGCCTTTTTCCCCACTCGTTTGGGGACTTTTATTTGTTTTTGTTTTTTCCAGACAGGGTCTCACTGTGTTGTCCAGACTCGTCTCGAACTTGTTCTCCTATCTCAGCCTCTTGAGTGCTGGGATTGAAGGCTAGTGCAACCACAGCCAGCTTTCTCACTGTTTAATGTGAGACCTGAGTGACTCCATTTTAAAGTTTTGGCCCCATTTTAGAGTAAAGGTGGCCTGGACATAAATTCTAGTTCCGAGAAAAACCACAAGATGCACTTTGGCCACCTGCCTGTGATAATGTCCAGCAGTCCCCTAGCAACTAGCCTAGCGACAGCTAATCGGTAGCTGCCTCAATGTCCCAGATGCTCTTCTCGATGGCCTGCAACAGCTAATCAGTAGTTACCCCAATACCCCAGTATCCCAGATGTTCTTTTCGATGACTTGAGCAGCCGTTTGCAGTTCAGCGCGCAAGGCCCAGCCAATTAGGTTTAAACTTTCAAAACTTGCTAAATGCTAGCCAACTGTGTGATTTGCGTGTGATTTGAAACCCCGCGCCCTTTTCGAAACCCCGCGCCCTGCTGTAACCTCTATAAAAACCCCTGGTGTTTTAGAGTCAGGGCTCTCAATCTTGACCCGCTGCGTCGGTGACAGTTGAGCGTCCTTGCTCAAGCTTAAATAAACGACTCTCGTGTGTTTACATCGGAATCGGTTCCTTGGTGGTCTTTGGGGACCTCGCGATCTGGGCACAACATTTAATAATAATAAAGAATGGGTGTATAGCTCCGTGGTAGAGTGCATGCCTAGGATGCACAAGCCCCATCATTAGCACCACAATCATCATCATCATCATCATCATCATCATCATCATCATCATCATCATCATCATCATCATCATCTCCGGTACCGCAAAAATAGTAATACTATGGCGATACTTTCTGCCTTCCCTCCCCTCAGTATCTCAATGTAGCTATCACTCTTTCTTGCCAAGAAAATTGGTTAACTTTGTATAAATTCATAATAAGAGACGCTGCCACTGAAGGGGCTGCTCCAGGTAATGTGTTGGAACTCTTCTTCAAGCTTTTGAGGACTCCTTTCCCTAGACCAGGCCTCCTTAGCTTGCTTCTTATAAAGTGCCCTGAATTCTTGAGCACCAAAAGCAGTCAGAAATCTTTCCCAGTCCCTTTAATGCTCATCCAAGAAAGTGCTAAGCAAGATTCCGATAGTCCAGTCCTCTGCTGAAAACGAGATTTTTTTTTCTTCTAACTCCCACGAAGGATGGACCCCACAGCTCACCTGGGTAAAGGAGCAGATACAGAGGGGCGAAGATTCCCTATACCAAAGCTGGGACCCTGGGCAGAATTGCATAGTCTCTTCAAAGGTGAGTCCATAAATTCAGGGGAATCCTATTTTTTTTAAACATACATTAAATAACAAAAGGGTAATTTTTAGAAAAAAATCAACTTCCCTTGGGGCTTTTAGGAGCTTTGCAGGTTCCATTCCTTATTACAAACATATTGAATTTATCTTGTGAGAAGGAAGACACAATTTGGTGTAATATACTTAGTAGTCATAGTTTCTTATTTCTATCTTATTCCCAAGAAAAAGAAAAACAAATTACTTGGCAAAAGTCAAGAAGCCTATCTACCCTTGGGAGAAAACTTGACTGACAGTTTCTAAGTGCAAATAGAGAAAAACAAACCTAAATGGCCCTTTCTTCAACCGCAGACAACACCATGACTAACAGTTCCCTGGTTATACAAAGTGAAACTTCAGAGTAGTTCTCAAAACTGAAAGTGTTAAATCTTCAGCTATGTGGGGTTTTTTTGGGGGGGAGGTCCCTTTTTTTCTTTTTTGGTTTTAAGTCTTAATTAGTTGCTGCTCTTCTGGGGTTCTTTTTGCCTGTTGTTTTTGTTTGTTTGTTTGTTTTTGGTGGGGGTTTTTTTGGTACCAGGGATCAAACTTGAGACCTGCTTGCAAGGCAGGCAGCGGAACTATTGAGCTAAATCCCTAGCCACTTTTTGCCTGTTTTTGAGACAGGGTCTCACTATGTAGTCTAGGCTGGCCTTGAACTCAGGATCCTCCTGCCTCAGCCTCCCAAGTGCTGGGATTACAGGCATGTCCCATCACCGCTGGCTAAAATTGCTACTATTCTTTTTTTTTTTTTCAGTACTGGGGATTGAACTCAGGACCTTGTGTTTGCAAGGCAGGTGTGAGCTAAATCCTCCACCCAATTGCTACTATTCTAACACATAATAATCTGGCTTTGTATTATCCCTGTAAGAATCAGGCAAATTTGGCTATATAGAGTCTGGCTGGAGGCAGGTGCACTCACTAGGGATGGCAGGTTCTTTTCATTTCACCACAATTCCTCCCCTGCACGTGTCTCACTCCTACCCTGTTCCCATTGACATTTGAATCTGTAAGTTGTGCCCTGCTGTGTAAATGCATGAACCCAAGGCAGGTGTCTGGAGCTGATGGCTCGCTGGCCCCATCAGATAATCTGCATATGGTATGTGGCATTAGGAAATCCTAGCTTCAGGGTTCAGCACAGCAACACCCTAAAGCACTGCAGCTTCAGCAAGGCTTGGAAGGAATGTAGGTGGTGACCAGGCAGGGTACAATGAGCGTTCCAAGAAGGGAGAAGCATGCACAAAGGCCTACAAAAGAACACCACGTGGCCTGGGGTTCCAATTATTATTGCTACAACACAAATCACTCCAGAACTTCATGTCTGAAAGGAGCTACAAGCATCTTATTATCTCCATTAGTTCTGTAGGTCCGGAACTTGGGAAAGGCTTGGCTTGTAGGTTCTAACTTGGGGTGTGTAATGTGATGGTAGTCACATGGTGCCCGTAGCTGGGGCATTAAGTGCTGGCTGGGCATCTCTTTCTTGGCAGCCTGAGGGCCTGCTGTGGTCCAAATATGATTTTCTGCTTTGGTTTGGTTTGCTTTTTTTTTTCTTTTCTTGTTTGCTCAGGCTGGCCTTGAGTCATGATCTTCCTTCCTCAGCTTCCCAAGTGCTGGGATGGCAGGTGTGTACTGCAACCCCTGGCTTGCTCTGTCCCCTCTGGAACTCTTGCCAAAATGGGATTCCCAATAGGACAGGGCTGGGAGGTGGGTGTGGTGGGGGTTGTTTGGGTCATGGGGGTGGAACCCTCATGAATGAGTTACTGAGTTACTCCCTTTCTCCTGTGGATGACTTTTGTTCTTGAGGGACTGGATTAGCTACTGAGACAGTGGGTTGTTACAAAGCAAATCCACCTCTTGTGTTCTTCCTTTTACTCATCAGCCACCTGTCCTAGTTTTCACCATGAGGAAAAGCAACAAAGTCCTCTCTAGAAAATGAACAGATGCTGGCACCATGCTGTCGAGTTTCCTAGCCTGTGAGTGAAAACAAACTTTTCTTTACAAATTTCCCAGTCTCGGGTGTTCTGTTATAGGGACAGAAAATGAACTAACACAGAGCCATCTTGTGTGTTTTCTGCACGAGTTAATTTGAGTTTCCTTATAATTTTTTAAATTTTTAAATTTTTTTTCATTAGTTTGTTGGTACATTTTAGGAATAAAATATAGTTACATTCATCATTGGGATCTTGTACCTTTACATAATGTATCTTGATTATTATTTTTTCCCATTCCCCTGCCCACCCTTCCCTATTTACAAAGACTTTGTTTCCATTGTTTTCCTTTTCTCATATTTTTTCTTTTCCCTTCTTTCCTTTCCCCT